TGATCTACCACCTGGACGTCGCCGCCATGTATCCCAACATCATGTTGTCAAATCGTCTACAACCAGATTCGATGGTCGACGAGTCCGTGTGTGCGGTGTGCGACTACAATCGCCCGGGTAAGACGTGCGATCGGAGGCTGGAATGGGCATGGAGAGGTGAATTCTTCCCCGCGCACCGGGACGAGTATAACATGATTCGGCACGCGCTGAACCAGGAGAGCTTTCCATCGAAGAAGCCTGGGGGACCGCAAAGGAAGTTCGTGGATTTGACGGAAACAGAGCAGACAGCTCTTCTGCACAAGCGGCTCGGAGACTACTCTCGCAAAGTCTACAAGAAGACCAAGGACACGAAGGTCGAGACACGTGAGTCGATCGTATGTCAGCGGGAAAACCCGTTCTACGTCGACACCGTGCGTCGTTTCCGTGATCGGCGGTACGAATACAAGGGACTCCATAAGACGTGGAAGAAAAACCTTGACACCGTGACCAGCGAGGGCCGCTCCCTCGCGGAGGTGGACGAAGCGAAGAAGATGATCGTGATCTACGACTCCTTGCAGCTTGCACACAAGTGCATTCTCAACTCGTTCTACGGTTATGTCATGCGCAAAGGTGCACGTTGGCACTCGATGGAGATGGCGGGGATCACTTGTCTGACTGGAGCAACCATCATTCAGATGGCTCGTGCGCTGGTGGAACAGATCGGGCGTCCGCTTGAACTCGATACGGACGGGATTTGGTGTATGCTCCCAGGAGTGTTCCCCGAGAATTTCAAGTTCAACTTGAATGATGGCAAACCCATAAGCTTCTCGTATCCCTGTACGATGCTCAACCACCTCGTCCACGCGCAGTTCACGAATCATCAATACCACGACCTTAATCCGGAAAGCGGGGAATACGTTGTGCACTCTGAGAATTCCATCTTCTTCGAGCTGGACGGGCCGTACCGCGCAATGATTCTCCCCTCGTCAAAGGAGGAAGACAAGCTGCTCAAGAAACGTTATGCAGTGTTCAACGACGACGGCTCCCTCGCAGAGCTCAAAGGTTTCGAAGTCAAGCGGCGCGGAGAGCTCCAGCTCATCAAAATCTTCCAATCTCAGATCTTTGAGAAGTTCCTTCTCGGCACCACCACTGAAGAATGCTATGGCGCTGTCGCAAGCGTTGCCAACCAGTGGCTCGACATCCTCTTCTCTCATGCTGAGACACTAACCGACGAGGAACTTGTCGAGCTCATTGCCGAGAACAGAAGCATGTCAAAGACGCTTGCCGAGTATGGTGGCCAAAAGTCTACTTCGATCAGCACTGCTCGGAGACTCGCCGAGTTCCTCGGGGACCAAATGGTGAAAGACAAAGGTCTCGCATGCAAGTTCATCATCTCTGCCAAGCCGAACGGTGCTCCCGTCACCGAGCGAGCTGTTCCCATCGCTATCTTCTCCGCTGAAGAATCTGTCAAGCGAACTTATCTCCGAAAATGGCTCAAGGATCCTGGGCTCACGGCATTTGAGCTTCGTGGGATATTGGACTGGCAGTACTACATCGAGCGGTTGGGTTCTGTGATTCAGAAATTGATCACTATTCCTGCTGCTATGCAAGGCGTGTCGAATCCAGTATCGAGGATCAGGCATCCCGACTGGCTGCATCGCAGAGTCGCAGTGGCGGTGGACAAGTTTAAGCAGAACAAGGTTACAGACTTCTTTTCCAAGGCTCCGCGGAAGATGCAGGATGATGGAGAGGAAGATATGGAGGACTTTGGAACACAGAAGAAGCCCGACCAAGGACGTATTGCCATCGTGAGCCGTAAGGCTGCGCGGAGGCACAGCCCCGAGCCTGACGAAGACGACGAGCCGGACAATGCTCCCCTTCCCGACCCCGACTCGAACTATTCCGCGTGGCTCAAAGCTATCAAGCCTCGTTGGCGGAAGAGACGAGAAGCCCGCTGGGGTGATGACTCGTCCGCTATCGTCCCTACCATGTTCAAAGGCGCACGAGTGCGAACAACGCAGCGCTGGGATGTGGTACAGATCCGACCAAGCAAGATTTCGGGTCGCTTCACGCTATGGGTTTCTATTGATGGAGAACCCACGCCCGTTCCACTCCGTATTCCAAGGCAATTCTACCTCCATTTCAAGAATCCACCCAAAGACGATTTGTTCCGCACGGAGTACTATCAGTGCGAGAAGGTAGTGAGGCATCTGCCGAGAGACATCCCTTGCAGAAATTTGTACAGGCTGGTGGTAAAGGAGGAGGTGTATCAGCGGATCCAGGAACATTTTACAGACTTGATGAACGATCCGAATGTTGATGCTGTATTCGAGCGGCAGGTACGTCTTGGTATTGACGTCAAGCGCCTCTTGCTAAAAGCCGCGCTAGGTTCCGCTAGAAATGCGTGCTTTACTGAAGCTGGGCAAGACATGTACCGTGGATGAACCGGGCTTGACTCTCAATCGTGCCCAGATGAGCGGAGTCGATCTGACCCAGCTTGATCGCGCCAGTCCCTCTCTATCTCGACAATCATACCTCAATGCTGGGCGTGGGGCCAAATATCTATTCCTCTATCATGCTTGCTCGCATAATGCTCCGATCCATGTATTCGCACTCTTCCTTCCTAGTGGAGCTGTTAAGCTGCACTTGGTCGACCCAGCGACGCGCCGCCAAGGGATACCGCGTTTGCAAGAGTTGTACGCCGATCTTTCGAAGAAACGGCAAGATCTCTGTGGAGATGCGGCTTCAATCCAGTACCCCACTTCTTGCGACTTCACGACCACATACCACAACAAGGATACCACAGCACTCAAGGCAATTTCCCGAGAGCTCGGACTCCTAGAGCATATGTCGTACATGGTTGTCATCTCCTCGTCGAAGCCCCAGGTCTACTTCGACACATGGGTTCCCAAGCTATCGAAATTTCCAGTCCTGTCTATGTCGAAAGCAAAGGTTCCCCATTCCCTCGACGTCTTTCCGTGGCAAACGCACGTTGCTCAAAAGATGCTGCAGCGCTACCTCTCGCTCGGTCTATGGCTCGATCGTTCGATCGCTCTTGCAGACTATTATGACGTTCCTATTGGGCATATCGACGGCGACCAGCCTCTGCTTTTGTCTGATATCAGCTTCGCACGACGGCTGGTGCAACAGGACATTATCCTCTGGTGGTCACCTACTGAACGTCCAGATCTGGGCGGCAGAGAGGCGGACAACCGGCCTGTGGAAGACCTGCAGAACACGGAATTTATGACCCCGGGATGTTATTCCAATGTGTGCTTGGAGGTAACAGTGCGCAACCTAGCCGTCAATTCCGTGCTGCACTCTGTGGTGGTCAACGAGCTTGAAGGGAGCGGCGGTGCGACGGCCTTTGACTCTGTATCCCGCACGTTGAACGAGTACTCTGGAGGCGAAGCACCACGTGACCTTACACTTGGGGAGTCGAATGTTTCTACCTTGACATTCGGCATCTTGAAGTCGATGATCAAGGCTTGGCTTCTGGATAAAATCAAGGGTAACTTCGAGAGTCCTGCAACGTTAGCTATCGATCATTTCTGGCGTTGGATCAGCACGAGTGCCTCGCACCTTCACGATCCCAGTATCCACCGTTTTGTTCATGGACTTATGCGGAAAACATTCATACAGATGCTTGCCGAGTTCAAACGGCTTGGCTCTCTGGTCGTGTATGCCGACTTCAGCCGGATCTTACTTGCGACTTCGAAACCACCTGGAACAGCTCACGCCTATGCAACGTATATCACCACAGCAGTCACGTCCCACGAACTATTTCAACACATTTATCTGAACACGGAGCGTTTTTATGACTTCTTGTTGTTCATGGACTCGGCGAACTTGGGGGGTGTGGTTTGTGAGAACCCTTTGTCCGTCGAGCCTCCAAACGAGCTCACTATCGAGATGCGCTGGAACATCCATACTTTCCTCCCACCTGCCGTCCAGGACGACTTCAGCTCCGTCATCCAATACTTCATCGTCGAGCTTTACAAGATCAGACAGAAGACGAACGAAACTTCACGGGTTCCTCTTCGAGTGCTGCAGAACCTTGCACCTGATGTCACACAGCGAGATGCCGGAAAAGTGAACGAGACGGATGCCACTCGCGAGTTCATTGGCAGGAAACTGACCCGAAAACTTCTGAGAGTCGTAGGCGCTGCTCAATCCAAGCACAGAGACTCGGCACACGACGAGGAGCTTCACAGTCAATTCACGTTCCCAATCCATCCCGGCTCTTATCTCACCCTCACGAACCCCGTCCTCGAGTTCATCAAGTTTACCTGCGCAGTGCTCGGCCTTGCCCAAGACTACCAAGTAGAAATCGGTCTCTTGAAACGCAACCTACTCGATTTGGCAGGTATCCGTGAATTCGCCAACGAAGCCGTGTTCCGAAATCCCTGCGAAACGCTCAAGTTATCCAATGTCCCTTGTAAACTTTGTGATGCACTTCGGGACTTTGACTTTTGTCGAGACCCGGAGCTCATGTCGAATGGTTTGGGTGTTGGACCGCCAAGGTGGACATGCGGGGGATGCGGAGGTGAATACGACCGGGCTTCGATAGAGATGGAGCTCGTCCGGACGGTCGGTGCGATGGAGAGGGCGTTTGTACAACAAGACCTTCGGTGCATGAAATGTAAACAAGTCCGTTCGGACAACGTCTCACGATACTGCCAATGCTCGGGGTCGTACCAGTTGACAGTCGGGAAGGTGGAGATCAGGAGGAAGCTGAGGACGGTCTTGAACGTTGCCATTGTACACAACTTGGCGAGACTCAAGGTCAGTTTCCAACTAGATTCTGCGTTGAAACCGAGATTAAACTTTTTTTTTTCGATTTGCACAGGAGTGCGCGCAGGTGACGTTGGAGAATTGGTAAAGTGTAACCATTTAGACTGGAAAGAATACCCCGCTCTCGTGCTGTCCTACTGTACTTAGTTCGATTAGATGTTGTATTGTACTTGTCGCCATGTTACGATCACTTGCATCATTACGTTCAATAAGCTTTCCAACATCAATCTCTGGTAGTATATCGGATAGTACATCCGCCTGTCATGCACATCAGCGATACGATGGTTCGCGGAAGAGCGGGGTTCGACTCCCCGCCAGAGAGGACACTTTTTGTTGGGAAATGTAGTGTTTACGTAAAGTCTCATGGAGCAGCCCGAAAAAGGCATGTTGACATTGCGCTGTAGCACCGGACATGTGCATGGTGGTTCATGTACTTCCTAGACGGTTCCACAAGCCAGACCAGTGACCAAGTCCACCCACCCCTTCCACCGTTCATCCAGTACTAGTCCTACTGCTCCTAGATCTCCTGTCGTTATAACCTGTACCTCACCCTACGTTCCACCACTGCTCACACCCTCGAACGAAATTGACGCCCGTTTGATCTCTGTTTACGCGCCCCATGAACTTCTTCAAGACTAAACCACGAACGCCGCCTGACCTCGTACGTGGCCTTCGGGATGCCATTCCAAAGCTAGAATCCGGTGCACCAGGAAGCGAGACAAGGAGAAAGGTGAGCCTAACACCACATTCCTGTCATGTGATTCTACCCGATCGCATCGTTCAGGCGAGCGAGGAAGTATCGAGAAATATCCAAGCCATCAAGGGCGTATTATACGGAGACGGAGGTGCGCTGATCTCTAGTCTAGCATTCATTCATTTCGTTTTACAAAACCCAATTCCTCACGCACACGCACACGCACACGCACGCACGCACGTCCCATAGAACCCGTACCCGAGCTCATTGCCCAACTCGCTCAAGAGACCTATTCGACCGACTTACTCCTCATTCTCGTGCAAAACATCGCACGTCTTGATTTTGAGTCTCGGAAAGACGCCGTCCAGATATTCAGCAACCTCCTACGGCGCCAGATCGGCGCTCGCTTGCCCACCGTCGAATATATCTGTGCGAAACATGAAGAGGTCATCTTTGCTACTCTTGCGGGGTACGCGAACGAGGAGATCGCGTTGAACACTGGTATGATTCTGCGAGAGATGTTGAAACATGAGCAGCTGGCCAAGATTCTGCTTCATTCCGAACAGTGCGTCGCGAGACTCTTATCGTTGGTATCCTGACACACGTACGGGGTCAGATTTTACATGTTTCCACACCACATAGAGACGACGTCTTTTGGCGTATCGTGCGATGCATTTGCCAACTTGAAGGATACGCTGACACGGCACAAAGCTATGGTGGCAGAATACCTCGACAAGAACTACGACAGAGTGAGCGACCTGACTTGCCACCATCTCTCGTCTAGTCCTGACCAGGAGTGATGACCAGTTCTTCGCGTCCTTTACCACTCTCATTCTCTCCAACAACTACGTCACCAAGCGACAATCCCTCAAACTCCTTGGCGAAATCTTGCTGGATCGTGCAAACTTTAGCGTTATGACGCGTTACATCGCTCAAGAGGCAAATCTCAAGATGATGATGAACATGCTCCGAGACAAGAGTAAGAACATTCAATTCGAGGCTTTCCATGTCTTCAAAGTCAGTGTCCTTGTTTCTCCTATGGTGAAGATCGATGCATTCGACATACATCTTTGACATAGGTATTCGTCGCCAACCCGAAGAAACCACCCCAAATTGAATCAATACTGCGAAGAAACAAGGAGAAACTGCTGACGTTCTTGAAGAGCTTCCATAATGATAAAGAGGATGAGCAATTCAGTGTACGTGTGGATGTCTTGTTCTCAATCGAAACTACCCCCTGACCGTTCCCGTACCCCAACAGGACGAGAAGCAATTCCTGATAGTCCAGATCCAGAATCTGTAGCACATCCCGTGTTTCTTGCCCCCTCTTGCCCACTGCTTGTGGTCCATCTTACACCGTCGACGTATGTAATGCAATCAATTAAAGCCCTAGTGGGAACTATAACGCCAGCTGGCGCACGTAACAAGTGGTATACTGTGATATATATAAGAACAAGAAAACGAGACGCACATGGGGAGAGACAAATTCCAGAAGCTGTCAAGAAGAAGGAAAACCCATGAAACCGGCGCTGTTACGGAGAGGATGCCATGGTAACTGCGTGGTTTGTCAGCAACCCATTGGCCACCTCCTTAGCTCTGCTGGCGCTCAACGGCGTAGTGCCAATTGGCTGGCCAGAGACGGTTGAAATCGTGGTGTGGGCTCTCGTTCGGATAAACGAACTGCAAGAATATCGAACCGGGTCAGTTTTTCCCCAACAAAAGAACAAGAGGTGATACTCACGTTCCGGCCCTGATGAGCTCCGAGAGTCTCGCATGCTTCTTCGCCTCCATCATATATAACCCGGTGCCAAGGATCGCATTCTCGTAGTCATCGTTGCACGCTCCTTTAATGACCGGTGGCCCCGGAGTTCTGTACCGAGCAGGACCGAACGCGGATTCTGAGGATAGGGTCACTTTTTCGAGGGATGGGTTGGATGACATGACTAGGAGGAGCTCGTTCCAAATGGCCGGGAGCTGTGTGCGGACATATTGTAGACGAGGTGCCTCACTGAGAGCTTGTGCAAAGGGGAGAGTGATCGGTGACGAAGACATTTTCAAAGCGATGTGAACAGATTCCTAAAATAAACCAAGTCAATTCGACACAGGGGTGCATATTGCTCAGGGTACTTACAAGGCCCGGCCAGTTATGTATGGCTCGGGGAAGACGCTCCAGCATATATTGTGGGCGAGGGTGCGTCAGATATGCATTGGGGTCTTTACGTATCGTTAGATGCACGATCGAGTCCCGCTGCTCCAGTGCGGAGCAGAATGCCTCCGCATCGACATCGCTGGCATTAGCCCCATTGCCAAATGTGACGTGTAAGGGCCGCGGTGGGTGGCCAACGAGACCGCTGTCTAGACAGACATCGATGCTGTCCACACGCTCACACACCGTAAACACGGCGGCGCAATCACGCCAAATACCGCCAAACACAAGCCCCCGTACTGCATTTGCTAACGAGGGATACTGCGTCAGCGTCTCGAGTACCCCAGTGACCTGTTTGGCTGACTGGAGGTGCAGAGTGTGGTAGAAGAGGGGCGAGGCAATTCGCAGGAATTGACGCGATACTAGTAATGGTGCAAGACGGCCGCGAGGTTGTCGAGTGGCGACGTCCCACACGGGTCGCGGGGAATGAGGAGGTCGCGGTGCGACGCAGAGTGCTAGTATGCGTGCGAGGAGTTCTTCGGGGAAGGAGGCCAGCGAGTGCATTGATTGGGACATTGGATGGCAGTGCGAAAAGGAGACGAGCCTGATGGTGATGGTATCAGATGGGGAATCGGTTTATATAGAGGTCGGAGTGAGAGGACAGAGACGGGAGGGGTCGCGGTGAGAGTGCTTCCTGAACGGAAATGAGGGGGCAACAAAGTAAGGGCAGTGATACGAAAAAGGTTGTTGCTATCCGAGTGCAAGGTTGGTAAAGACCGCCGACGTCTGATTCCAAATCAGGCCAAACGGAGAAGGACTCGATCGGACCGGACCGTACTTCTTAATTAACCCCCCGTCCATTCGCACCCGAAACCTCGCACCTCTGTCAGCTGCAATGGGCTATGTTCGACAGCGAACACCTCACTTGACATCAACGACACTGTGCTTTGACTGCGCCTGCGACCACAGCTCTTTGTTGGCACAGAATTGCCAGTGAACCCGCAGTGAATCCGAAGTCAGCCCGTCCGTTGTCGTGCATCCTTCCGCGGAGGGACCGAAGGCTATCATTGATGCTATGGATCAAGGACGCAAACAGGGTTCCGTGCCAACGCCAAGGTTGAGCGCTGAGCACCGAGCTCCGAGGTTAATAGTGTACATATGCCATGGCAACAGCCCAACATCGTCTATCATACATGATCATACTGATGACGAGCCGCGGACCGAGCGACTCCCATCAGCGATTGGTGGTTGGTATGATGCAGGCCACATATCTTCTCCTCAGCTTGGATACAGAAGCTCCCAGCCCAGGGCCCAAGCATGACTCCGAGAAGCACTCCTACGCAACCGGAAACACCTCCACTATATTCACACTTTGTTCTCGCCATCCGCAAGGTACACCCTTGACAACACCTGCAAGTGAACAGAAGCCCGGCTCTCATCCAAAAATCGAGGAGGACTTGTGCTGTCAGGAGAGAACTTGATCGACGTCCCTTGTCGCTCGCCAGTATCCTTATTCCAAGCCCTTCCCATGATAACTCGGAGGATAAGCATTTGCGGTGATATGCACTGCAAGTCAATCACAATTGATCGTCAGGCTATCAATCGAAGATTAGCGGACGAAGAAACGACGCACCATTCCCAATATATATATGGAATAAAATGTTACCGAGCATCCACTCCCTATTCCAAACGAAACCAGGAACGCGATTCCTGACATCGTGTAAGGGAGCACAGACTCGACGATAACCGATACGACGTTAAAATACCCGGACGCGTGTTCGTGTCCGAGCTGTTCTTCAACTTCATGGCGTGGTACATCATACGATAGCATATGATGCCGGTCACAGCAATGTTCAAAAAGACCGAGATAGAAAAATACGCCACACCGAGTTTTGCAGCCAGGCCAGAGAAGAGGTCACCCCCTGGAGAGCTGGAAACCCAGTCGACCGCCACTCCCAAGGCTAATTGTTTCACGTTAGAACCGAACACGCGTTGAAACTTGAAACGGACACTCACCGAGTGTGGTCATCCACAGAATAGATGGTACAATGATAATACGATAGTTATTCCACACAATCCGGCAGCGATAGATCTAGAGTCAACAGAGTCAGCGATTTCAACGACAAACTAACTGAGTCTCACCATGAGAGCGTCGGTCATGAGTTGCAACAAGACGACAGCGGTCGACCCCAAATCCATGTACCAATCCGACATATGATCCGACCAATATTGTCCAGGACCACCCGGATAGTCTCTATCCTCTATCCACATTTTCCCGTTGAATATTGCCTGGGTAATCAACCAGAGCGAGACCAGGAAGAGCATCATGGTGCTGAAGAACGCGTAGAAAACGTCGGACTTTTTCCGATTTCCCCTCTTGCCCAGCAGGATCTGCATGGTCTTGACGTAGAGAACAAGCTCGATACCTATACGGACCAGTGAGGTGTATGAAGGAGGGTAAATCCACTGGACTCACCGTACA